AAGACCTCCTCCTGAGGAGCCACTCCTGCCTTTTGGCAGCTCTGCACGCCCGTGCATCAAGAAGAGGCTCCTCCTCTTCTTCCTCTCCACTTATGGGAGCTTCTGGAGGTTCTGAAGGCCCTGGCTGAATCCCCGCCTCTGGCACCACATCTTCTCCAGCCTCCTCATTGCCTGATTTGAGTGCCAGCTGCACAGGCTGCTGGTGCAGCACCACACCAGCCTCCTCACTGTCAGAATCAGCTACTAGCTGCACAGGCCGCTGACGGGCCACAACACTTAGCCACCGTGTTACTAACTGAACACCTGTGGCAATTCACCTAACAGCTATAGTAAGCCAGGTTGTAAGATGAAACAAAACTCAGTTAACAACTGTCTTACTTAAGAATACAAATGTTGGGCTCAATTGTGGTCATAAGTCGAGGACTCCCTGTAATTTGGAACCAAGCTTCTTAGATATTGCTTCAGAATTGCCTGCTGCAGTTGAAAGAATCTTGAATACATAAAATTGCGGTGGCCCTTTGGCAGCCAGCAGAGATAGCTGAAGTCAGATGAGGAGGAGGTGGAGGGAGATCCTAGGCCAGCTTTGGAGCCTTTGGAAGGTTCTGATAAGGAAACAGCATCAGAGACCGAGGCTGAGCTGGGGCCTTCCATTTTCTCTCAGGTGGAGAGGCAGCTGTCTTCAGGACTTCAGGGAGGAACAGATGAGGCCCATCCTAGATGCATGTATGCGTAGAGAGGAAAAGAGAGGAGAGCACAGGAAAGCAATAAGCCGGCTCTCAGGGAGAGGCAGATGCAGACGATAGACAGCCCCTCCCTGGCTGGGAAATAATATATAGGAAATAATAATAATAGGAGGGGTTTAGGGAGTGGCCAGTTGTCACAGACAACCATTCGTTTCTAGCAGTGGTGAAATTTGTTACTAACGGTTCTGTGGGCGTGGCCTGGTGGTGGTGGGTAATGTGACTGGGTGGGTATGGCCAACTTTTTTTTTTTACTTTTTTAAAGCATTTTTTTTACAACCTATTCGGGCGAATAGGTTGTAAAAAAATGCTTTTAAAAGGTTAAAAAAGGCTCTGACGATTGCGCGGCACAGCTGTGATCGTCAGATAAATCTTTTTTATCTTTTAAAAGCAGGAAGTAATGACACCTGGGCGAGTGGGCGGAGCCTCATACCGCCATTGCTACCGGTTCTCCGAACCACCTGTCACAATCGCTACCGGATCGCTTGATCCGGTCTGAACCGGGAGCATTTCACCCCTGGTTTCTAGTATACAGCAAGATTTCTTGGATAAACCCAGGTTTGTTGGGACTAATTACATTTGATTTTTTGGTTTATCCCTGTGAATAAAAGACTGTTACTGCCCTGTTATAAAAAGGGGTTGTTTTACTTGCGAGTAAATTATCTTTATCTTTTATCTTTATCTTTTATTTGATTTGTATACTGCCCTACTCCCGAAGGACTCAGGGCGGTGAACAGCCAACAATAAAATACATACATACAAAATTTAAAAACAGAAATAAAATCGAATTAAATAGTTTGGCCCAGACAGATTAAAACCCCAATCAATTTAAAACAGATTTAAACATTGAGGATTAAAAGATATTAAAAATATTAAAATATTAAAATTGTTTAAAAAGAGGGAGAAAGTTAGGCCAGGCGTGGCGGAAGGTGCGCAGATCCGGGATTCTCCGTATCTCTGGGGGGAGCTCGTTCCAGGTAGTAGGTGCCCCCACAGAGAAGGCTCTCCCCCTGAGGGCCGCCAGTCGACATTGTTTGGCCGATAGCACCCGGAGGAGCCCCTCTCTATGAGAGCGTACCGGCCGGTGGGAGGCTATTGGTGGTAGTAGGCGGTCCTGCAAGTACCCAGGTCCTGAGCCATGGAGCGCTTTAAAGGTGGTAACCAAAACCTTGAAGTGCACCCAGTAGACCACTGGGAGCCAGTGCAGCTCGCGCAGGAGGGGTGTTACATGGGAGCGCCATGTCGCTCCCATTACCACCCGCGCAGCCGCACTCTGCGCCAGTTGGAGCCTCCAGATGCTCCTCACTACTTGCGAAGGCTGGGTCAGAATAAAAATGGTACTTTATGTGTTCTGTAAAAGAACAGTTCAGAATATGGAGGTGCAGATGATTCGGCATAGTTTTGTGGTTGGAGAGAACGATGGCAGTGGTGGCTTTCGCATTTTGTTACTACCGGTTTGCCATGCGCACGCACTTTCACTTCGCTCATGCGCCTGCCTTTCACGCATGTGCCCAGCCTTCTGTGCATGCACTTTGTTCATGCCTGGCCTTTCGTGCATGCGCTTTGCTCACGCATGGGCCTTCCGCACATGCAGCCAGCCTCAAAAATGTGCCTAAATAGGACTGCATAGAGCTGGGCCGGGTGGGCGGGTGGGTGGCCACCCACTATTTCTGCTACCGGTTCACCTGAACTGGTCCGAACCGGCTGATTACCACCTCTAAACAGTGACTTGCCCTTCCTGATGTAAAATGGGATGCAGAGCAAGCTAGAGCTTCGGATAAATGCTCACACCTTTTGTGGGGGGGGGGATTCCAAACAATGACATGTGCTTGGGACTTGATTTAGACCTATAGGTAGTCCTTGACTTATGACCACAATAGAGCCCCAAATCTCTGTTGTTAAGTGAGACATTTGTTCAGCGAGTTTTTCCCCATTTTACGACCTTTCTTACCACAGTTGTTAAGTGAATCACTGCATTGGATAAATTAGTAAACTGGATTCCTTGTTGGCTTGTGAGAAGATGGCCAAAGGAGATCAGACATGACCTTGGGACACAGCAACGGTCATAAGTATGAACCAGTTGCCAAGCATCTGAATTCTGATCATGTGACCATGGGGGGGGTATGTTGCAAAGATTGTAAGTGTGGAAAAAAAGCCATAAGTCACATTTTTCAGTGCCGTTGTAACTTTGAATGGACACTAAATGAACTGTTGTAAATTGAGGTCTACCTATATCTCAACATGGAGCTTAACTATGACCTCCCAAGGGACAACTTAAGATTGTCCAAAGGTATAATTATCCTTACAGGAAAGGAGGTGCAGATTTTGCTACCTGTGTTTAACTATAAATGATTTCCTCGCTATCAAGCCTAATCTAGGTGTTCAGGTGATCATCACTACACACAAGATAATACTTTGAGGAGTCAGCAGGGCAATTACCACCCACTCTTTTCCATTGCATCATCAAGATAAACTTATTGGCGATCCATATGAATGATCACTAAGGCCCAAATGACCCTCTCTGCTGTTGAGTCAGAATGACTAGTCAAGATATTGTTCAGCAAAATACTTCCGGTCACACTGGACCTCAAGGTAAGGCCAAAGGGTGGCATGGAGAGGTGAAAAACCACATTGAACAAGTGCCAGGAGAAGGAATCTCCTTTGGCAATCTGACTGGCATTTGCCCGCAGCACTTCATCTAGAGACGATCAGAAGAGGCGAGCGCAATAACCTGGACTTTTGTGTCTTCTACTCCCCTGTTCTCCAGTTTGTGGGAGGGACTATATACATTCCAAATTGCTTATCTTGGTACATCAGGATTATATTGTCCAACAGGGAGGCAACCTGCTCCTCCATTCCCAAACAGAATTGAGACAAACATCTACCTGCTCCTCTCATAATTAGGCCTACTTCTAAGGCAGTGGCCCCCAACCTTTTTGGGCATCGGGGACCGGTTCCATGGAGAGAGTTTTTTCTGGGGACCAGAGGGGGCGTGATGGTTTTGCCTGCTGCCTGCGTCCCACGGATGGGACTTTGCTTGTTTTCATGGCCCACTTTCTGGCATGCTGCAGACCGGTGCCAGTCCATGGACCAAGGGTTGGGGACACCTGTTCTAAGGGGTCTCAGAATTGTGCAAGCACCATTCTTTGAAGGATGTCTGTCTGTCTGTCTGTCTGTCTGTCTGTCTGTCTGTCTGTCCGCCTGGCCTGGCCTGGCTGGCTGGCTGGCTGGCTGACAGCAGGCTGGCTGGCTGGCTGGCTGGCTGGCTGGCTGGCTGGCAGGAAGGAAGGAAGGAAGGAAGGAAGGAAGGAAGGAAGGAAGGAATGTTTTGCTGTCCGGTTTTATTTTTCAAGGGAACAGAGCATGAGGTGTATGCCTGGAAGGTCTTGGATATGCAAATCTGTTTAATCTGGCCACAAGAGAACTTGAAACTGAGTTTTCTTTCCCAGTAACATCCTAATTAGGATATCTATTGCAGATGCAGTTCAGTCTTTGAGATGCTTTTGTGTGCATCCCCTTTAACATTTTCGGCCAGCAGAGTGCTGCAGGAGGTTGGGGAGGCTGAAAATGGGCCACGGGTGGGGGCCACACAAGCCCCCCCCCACAGCCCATTTTCAGCCAGCAGGGTGCTACAGGAGGTGTCTCTCTCCCCCGCCCCCGCCAGCCCGCAAAGGAGAACTACAATGCTGACCTATCCCCCAAAGAAATCCAGTTTGACACCTGTTTTAGATCATAAATACGATCTGGAACGAGCTCCCTCCGGAGATACGGAGGATCCCGGATCTGCGCACCTTCCGTCGCGCGCTTAAGACTTTTTTATTTCATCAAGCTGGCCTGGCCTAAATCTTCTCCCCTTTTTAAATGCAAATTTTAATTTGTTTTTAAATTATGGGGTATTTTAAATTTGTTCAGCCAAATTATTTAATTCAGTTTTTATTCTATTTTAAATTTTTGTATTTATGTGTTTTATCCTATGGCTGTTCACTGCCCTGAGTCCTGCAGGAGTAGGGCGGTATAGAAATTTAAATAAATAAATAAATAAATAAATAAATAAATAAATAAATAAATAAATAAATAAATAAATAATAAATACCAAATTCGACCTGCGGATTTTACTTGCCTTCCATATTAGACCTGACCTTCCAGCTCCTTCAATTAGGTGAGCAATGCATGCTTGCATCAACCACATCTCTCTAGGCGCACGTGAGTGGTGTGGGTAAAAATTAAATTGTTTGAACCTTAATGGTTTTAATACCTGGCAGCTGACCTTGCAAGTTTGCTTATTAGTCTAATGATGTGAGTGATTTTGCACTTTCATTTAAAAGGGAGTCCGTGGGCTGACTGAAAGAACTGGAAAAGTTTGTGAGGCCGGAGAGAGAGAAGGTTCAGCGCGTCTCCATGTAAAGTTGACAAGTCCGGACAAAGAAAAAGAGGAAAAAGGAGAATGTCTATAACAGAGCTCTTGTCGGTCACCATTCTCCTGAGCCTTTTGATGCTCTACCTCCTGAGGCAATTCTGGTTTCGCAGTCATTATCCTTCGGGATGGCTTCCATTGCCTGCCACCGGAAGCTTATGGCAAGCTGGCGTCAGGCTTTATCAAGAGACGCTGTCTAAGGTAACCCATCTGAATTCATTGCTAAATTAAATCTGTTGCGTTCGCTGAGGATTTGGGGGCGAGAACCGTGAATCGTTTTCCATCAAAAGGTAATGTTGGTTAAAGTGATCTGGGTCATCCTCGGGCATCTTGATGTAAACCCCGGGAAGGAATTCCATAAAGACGTCTTGAAGCTCAATCTTCAAGAAGGAAGAGAGACGGACAGAGATGCCATCAAACCTGATCTCAGAATTGTTCTTTCAGTTGTACTGGAAAAGCCAGATGTAGACGTAGGTGTCTATTTCATTGAGGGCCACATCAGGGTTGTGTCTGACCTTGGGGGGGGGAGTGGGTGTGGCCACGGTGGGCGTGGCCAGCTGAACGTCACTCGTGTCGAGGGCACCTGTGGTGGCCAGAGCAAAAATGGCCTCCCAAGTTCCATTTTTGCTTGAAGAGGCACTGTGGGCCTCTGCTGTTTCCAGGGCAGCCCTGGAGGCCAGATCTAAGGACCCCACATGCCGGATCTAGGCCTTGAGTTTGACACCCCTGGTTTAGAACCTCTTAGAAGAATGTCTCAAAATTCAGATCCCCCTATTTCTTACAGGTTTATTCTAATTTCATATACGGAAATCTTCAGAAATGAAGGCCTCCTGTATCAAATCATTTGACCCTCCTTAATTACAATATCCATTTACACCTCCTGTTTAAGAAGGGGTTTTCTCCATCTAGTCACAGAGTTCTTAAGCATTTTGATGGCCTTCTTGTCAAGATCCGTTCTCACCCAGGTTTATTCTCTGTTAGCATCTGGCAAAAAAAAAAAAAAAAAAAGAGAAAAAGCCTCTACATCTTCTTAGAGCTTAGGAACTCACCATGTTTAAATTTGGCATTGTCAATGGGAATCTTTGAGCAGATATTTTCTGATCCTGCTTCTCTACTATTAAGGAGCAGAGGTGGGTTTCAGCAGGTTCTGACCAGTTCGGAGAAATACCACCTCTGACTGGCCTTGCCCCCATCTATTCTCTGCCTCCTGAGTCCCAGCTGATTGGGAGGAAATGGGGATTTTGCAGTAACTTTCCCCTGGATTGGGGAGGGAATGGGAGATTTTACAGTATCCTTCCCCTGCCACGCCCACCAAGCCATGCCATGCCCACCAAGCCACACCCACAGAACCGGTAGTAAATTTTTTTGAAATCCGCCATTGTTAAGGAGGCAGGGAGAATGGTGCTGGGGCAGGGATAACGAGGAGAAGATATGGATCTGACAAACAGTACATTAACTTCTTCCTACTGAGAATTTCCATCCTTAAACGATGGAGTTGGAAAGCTTGATGCCATTTGGCCGCATTGCTTAGTGACAACAATCCTGACAGTCCCCATTGCTATTGTTAAGCAAAGATCATTGGGTCATTAAGTGAGGACCTCACATTGCTTTTGTTAAGACAAGATTATGGCTCATTAAGTGAGGATGTCACATGACCGTAATTTATGACTTCCTGACGGCTTCCCACAAGCAAAGTCAATGAGGAAGCCAGCAGGAAGTTGTAAGTCCTAGGTCCGTGATGGCGAACCTATGGCACGCATGCCACAGGTGGCACGTGGAGCCATATTAGTGGGCATGCCAGCTCAGCTCTGGGGCGCATGGGCGCGCCGGCCAGCTGATTTTCGGGCCTTCTGGGCCCACCAAAAGTAGGGAAACAGGCTGTTTCCTGCCTCTGGAGGGTCTGGGGGCGGGGTGGGGAGACTCCTAGAGAGGCTCCTAGAGACTCCTAGAGAAGTTCTGGAGGCTGGGGACAGCAAAAAATGTCACTTCCTGTCCCACCGAGAGTTGGGAAATGGGCTCTTTCAGCCTCCATAGGGCCTCCAAGGGAGTGGGAAAGGCTGTTTTCACCCTTCCCAGATACACAGAGAGGATCTGGAACCAGGTAAGAAAGAAAAACAGGCCTACCAGGCCATCATGTGCCAGGAGTGGGGGGGGAGGGGGAGGGGGTTGCGCATGCATGCGCGTGGGCACGTGCGCGTGTGACCCTCCCCCCCTCTCCTGGCACGCGATGACAAAAAAGTTAGCTATCACTGTCCTAGGTGATTCCCAAGCAGGCCAAGAGGACGCACGAGTGCTATGGAGTAAGAATGGAGGAGGAGGAGATACTGCAGCAAATGCACCTGGGCAGGGGAAGAGGTGATAATGTAAGGTATAATTATCTTTACAGGAAGATCCCTGGGAACACATACTCCATAGCAAGGCTCCTCAGGAGAAAAACTGGTGGGAGCGACGGGAAAATCAGGAGATTCAGGCAGCTCAAATGAGTATAAAGATGGATTGCAAGCTTAAACTCTCTACAAGAATCTGACCAACTGGCCATTAAGGGAAATGAGTGGGAGATAATAGCAATAGCAATATCACTTAGACAGCCCTCTCTAAGTAGTTTACAGAGTCAGCCTCTTGCACCCAGCAATCTGGGTCTTCATTTTACTGACCTCAGAAGGATTGGAAGGCTGAGTCAATCTTGAGCCTGGTGAGATTCAAACTGCCAAATTGCTGGCAGTCGGCAATCAGCAGAAGTTGCCAAATCCAAGTTGCAAAAACAAGGACAACATGTATTGCACATTTATAATTACATTTACGCAGCCATTACGTTTTTAATTGCTATTGTTATCTTGGACAAACACAGCCTTATTTTCACACTGACGTTGTAACAGAGGCTTAGTTGCAAAAGATGGGCACAACCAGGGTTAACCTTTGAGTTTCAGGGTAGAACCGAAATTTGAGTCTGGGGTCTCCTCTGCTCCTAATCTAGTCTGAGATTCTAGTGCTAGCTCATTTCCAGGTGGGATACTTCAGATTCCCACTAGATGGCAGCCAAGAGATACATAAAACTCTCTTGATCCTCCAGATGTTTGTGGCTCAGATATTATTAGGTGTTAAACGAAAACATTTCATGTCATCTGGGATAGAGAAGGTTTTTTGATTGAACGACATTTGGAACTGGATAGAGTCTGGGAAGGAGATGACTTTGGGACAAATATTTTATCAGGTATACTTCAAGTAGGGTCCAACTCAATTATTTCTTCATAGAACATAAGTTCAGGAACAATCATGGCTTATATTCTACTATCTGAAGAGACTGTAGACCCATGATGGCGAACTTATGGCACGCGTGCCACAGGTGGCATGTGCAGCCATATCTCTGGGCACGTGAGCATTGCCCTAGCTCAGCTCCAGTGCACATACGCACCTGACCAGCTGATTTTCGGGCCTTCCGGGCCCACCGGACATTGGGAAAGAAGCCATTTCTGGCCTCCAGAGGGCCTCCAGGGGGGGAAGGCTGTTTTCACTCTCCCCAGGCTCCTAGAAAGCCTCTGGAGCCTGGGGAGGGTGAAAAACGGGCCTACTGGGCCCACCGGTAATGTTTTTGCCATCCCGTGCCAAAAGTGGGGGGAGCACAGGGGGGGTGCATGCGTGTGTGTGCATACGTGTGGGGGTATTGAAGTATGCATGTGACCCCCATGCTCCCCTGGCTTTTGGCACGTGACGGCAAAAAGGTTAGCCATCACTGCTGTAGACTAACACATAACAAGAGGTGGTATTCAGCCGGTTCGGATTGGTTCACCCAAACCGGTAGCGGAAATTGCAGGTGGGCCCATCCTGGCTCTACGCCATTTTATTTAGGCACGTTTTTCCGGCTGGGTGCATGCGTGAAAGGCGCGCATGCCAGCAAAGTGCATGCACGGAAGGCCGGGCGCATGTGTGGCGGGGCGCGTGCACTCACATTTGCAAACCAATAGGGAAAGTAAGTGAATACCACTCTTGCACATAACTGACCAGGTAAAAGAGAAAACATACTCAGCCTAAAACAATTTGAAATCAGTGGTGGGTTGCCCCCGGTTCAAACCGGTTTGCAAGAACCGGTACTAAAACCGGCGGGAGGCTCCGCCCACCGCCCGGATGTCATCATCAGTGATCTGTGTATGCAATCCCGTTGCGAACCGGTAGTAAAGATAAGTAGAACCCACCCCTGTTTGAAATGTATTCTTAAAAGGAAGGTGCTGAGCTGTGAACCATCAAGAGTCAATTAAAATTTCTGAATAAATAAATACATTTTTTAAATTTGATTTATATACCGCCCTTCTCCGGAGACTCAGGGAGGCTTACAATGCGTTAAGCAATAGCCTTCATCCTTTTGTATATTTATACAAAGTCAGCTTATTGCCCCCACAAACTGGGTTCTCATTTTACCTACCTTAGAAAGGATGGAAGGCTGAGTCAACCTTGAGCCTGGTGAGATTTGAACTTACAGTAATTGCAGACAGCTGGTGTTAATCACAATGCTTTTAGTCTGCTGAGCCACCAGGCCCTTCAGTAAGATACCAATGGAAGTAACCGAATGAAGAAATACAACTAAAGTGAAGCAGTAGGAAAAATGGTCATTTAGCTGTCTATGGAGATTCTCAGTCATGCAGGTCACGGTTGTCCCAAAGCAGGGGTGAAATCCTTCCGGTTCGGACCGGATCGCCTGATCCGGTAGCAATGGAGGCGGGTGGTTTGGAGAACCAGTAGCAAAAATCCTTGACTTCCCCCCATGCCCAGCTGAGCCACGCGATCATCGGAGGATTTTTTTTCTTTTAAATGCCTCTGACGATCCCAGCTGAGTTGCCTGATCATCAGAGGCTTTTAAAAGATTATTTTTTACAACCTCTTTGGCCGAAGAGGTTGTTGAAAAAATGTTTTTAAAAGAAAAAACAGCCTCTACTGATCAGGCAACTCAGCTGGGATCATCAGAGGCTTTTAAAAGAAAAAAAAAATCCTCTGCCGATCAGGCAATTCAGCTGGGATCGTCAGAGGCTTTTAAAAGCATTTTTTAAAACAGCCTCTTTGGCCGAAGAGGTTGTAGAAAAAATGGTTTAAAAAGTAAATAAATAAATAAATTTAGCCACGCCCACCAAGTCACATTAACTCCCCCCCACCAAGCCACGCCCACAGAACTGGTAGTAACAAATTTTAGATTTCACCACTGTCCCAAAGATGCTTTTTTTCAAGAGGCAACGGGACTGTCTAGTTTTTCTTTGAAGACGTTTCACTGCGCATCCAAGAAGCTTTTTGTCATATAGCTTAAGATAAGAGCCCAGAAGCCGTTGCATCACAAGACAACTTACTGGTTGTCATTTCAGGGAACTGATTTCACATTCTTAGCCCACCCCCCTAAAAAGGTTTTCAACATCTCGTTGTGCAATATGCCTTAGAGAATAACGATGCATCATAATATTAAATCTGCCCATGTCTTCCCCAAGGTGAAGCAACTTGACTTTTTTTTGGTTTTTCTTTGAAGATGTTTTGCTTCTCATTCAAGAAGCTTCTTCAGCTTCTTCAGTGCTAAGATTGATGGTGTTACCTAATTTTGGTAATGAAAGATCTGCAAACAAACAAACAAACAAAAAAACAAAACAAAACAAAACAAAACAAAAAAAAACAACCAAGCTCAGAGAGCACCAAGGACTCCTCATTTCAACCCTGAGCTACAAATATTCTCCTTTGCTGGTATTGGGAATACTTTAATTTGATTCCTTCCAAAGTCAGGGGATGCTAAATCATACTGTTGGCTAAATGTTACGCTGCTGTGAATAGGAACTCAAGACCGAGCTGAGTTGAGTTGTTCCAAGCACGAAGTTTGTCAAGTGGAGAAATAAAAGCAGCTTGTTGAAAGGTAGTGTGGGAAGAAATATCCATCGGGTTCAGTTCCAAGCCGAGAGAAAGGCACTGGAGAGAAAATGGAGGCTGGAGGCTGATTGGAAAGAAGGTCCATTTATTGATGAACAGAACCATATGTTTGTGGTTCTGGTGCAGATGAGAAAATGGGATTGAGAGTGGTGTGGTATTTATTCTTTCTCTCGGCCTTTGCACTTGAGCTTCCTGTTCCTGTGCAAGAACATGTATTCTATTGGCTGTTGTCAAACTCCCATGGGGCCATGTAGGGGTATGTAGGGGTCATAGCTGGCTCTATAGGCAAAGTACAAAATCCTAGGTATTTGTCTGCACTAAGTTTGGTTGAAGTTTCTCAGGGTGATGGGCAATTCCTATTGTGGCTTAATGGCTTTTTCCTGTGTTGGACCTTGAGTGAGAGCTAATCCTATCACTCTGCTTTTGTTCAGACTTTGCTGCAGGGAGTTTCAAAATATCCTGTCTTGAATGGATTTCTGCCTACAGTATTTGCTTCGCCTCTGAATAGAGCTATCTAGTTTTCAATAAGCTGTTTATCCCTTAAGTGCTGACATCTGCTGTGGACTATTAAGGAAAGTGGAGGTTGCTTTCTGCCTCCAAGAGCACGTTTCTCCATTTCTCCTTTAGGGAAATATAATATTCTGCCTTTTTAAATATTCCTCAAAAGTGGAATTTAGGAGGGGGTGGTGTGGCTTCCCATATAGGAAAACAATGCCATATTTTGCTATGGGACTCAAGCCAATCAATGCTTCTCTTGCACTAGATGATAGCTTTCTATGATCAATACTGTTGGGCCTATTTAGCTTAAACAAGGGAATATTAAAAGGAGATTGGAGTGCAATTTTTACATACTCGAAGGGCCACCATAGGGTTGAAGGTGTGGATTTATAACCCATAGCTCCTAGGGTTGGAGAAGAGGAGGCCACATGACTCTTTCATGTTCCAGCTTGGTCCTTCTTCTCTTCACCATCTGAAAGTTACATAAACCTGAATGTTGGAACTGGAGATGTTCTGTTTGTGCACCTGAGCATTTGTGAGAGTCGTCCGAGCAACAATCGATGAACTTGTCACAGTCACTCATGCCCTAGTCCCTTCCCGTCTTGAATATTGCAACGTGCTCTACATGGGGCTGCCCTTGAAGAACATCTGGAAGGTCCAGTGGGTAAAAAATGCAGCGTCCCGCATGGATTTGTGCAGACCTCGGGGTGCACATGTACTACCTCTCCTGCAGGAGCTGCATTGGCTGCCAATTTGCTTCTGGGTGCAATTCAAGGTGCTGGTTGTCACCCTTAAAGCCCTTCATGGCTTGGGACCAGGTTATCTGAGGTACCGTCTCTTGCCAGTCACATCTACCCGACCCATGAAAGCGGGGAGGCAGGGAATGCTGCGGGCCCCATCCCCGAGGGAGATACAGCTGGTGGGACCCAGAAGAAGGACCTTCTCCATGGTGGCTCCCTCTCTCTGGAACATCATTCCCCCAGAGATTAGAACGACCCCCACTCTAATTCTCTTCCAGAAGGCACTGAAGACCTGGTTCTGCCAGAGGGCCTGGGGAATCCAGACCGCGATGGAGCCCATTAAATGGCTCGTGTGATCTGCTGTCACCGGGGCGGGGGGTGGTGGTGGGGGGTGAGAGGTGATTTTTATTATATTATACTATATTAATTTATTTTATTCTTTTTATTAGTTTTATTATTTTAAATGTGGTTTTACATTCTGTAAGCCGCCTTGAGTCGCCACCGGCGAATAGGCGGCAATATAAATTCAATAAATAAATAAATAAACAAACTTCTGAAGGTTTATGCAGATCTGTGGACTTCAATTCCCTGAATTCCCTAGCCAACGATGGCTGGCTGAAGAATTCTGGGAGTTGAAGCCCACACATCTTAAATCTGCTGAGGTTGTGAAATACTGGTATAGAGATAGGCACCTAGCTACCCACATCTTCCCTGCAGCAGAGTGAAAGTGTGGATGGATTCCAGGGATGAAAGGCGTAAAATTAATGTTGTTTATCTCTTTGTCTAAGAGAGAATGCAAAATAAAACCTTTCATGTGATCTACAATTCTGTTGCCTCCTTGTGAGTAATAGGTCGTAAGATGCCTTTGAGTTTGCACTCCTATTAGTGAAACAGGGGTAAGAACAAAATATTCGGTAGGAGAAGGAAGATTAATCATGTGTGTTCTTGAAACTGCCTTCAAGAACCTGTCGCAGCAATTAAAATATTTGGTGCTCATATGGTATCTATCGGTAGGTTGAAAAAGAGTCAATTAAGTAAATTAACTTGCTGAATTTGCTATATGGAAGGAATATGGGAAAACCTTTCTTGCCTTGTTGACATTCTGGAAAGAGTGCAGAGAAGAGCAACAAAGATGATTAGGGGACTGAAGGCTAAAACATATGAAGAACAGTTGCAAGAATTGGGTATGTCTAGTTTAATGAAAAGAAGGACTAGTGGTGACATGATAGCAGTCTTCCAATATCTAAGGAGTCAATGTTGTATATGCAAGTAGGAGCGAGTCTTACATCAGCCTTCATTCATTGGTTCATTTTCCCGCCGGTGGGAAAATGAAAAAGCATCAGTGGCTGACAGGCTGGACAGCTCCCGGTAAAAGGAGCTGCAGCCTTGGGCAGTTCAGTTCGTAGTTAGTTTGTTATTGTTCCCTGTTGCCTGCAATAAATGGTTGTTTTACATCACTATGATTGTCCTGCCTCTCTTTACGTGTCCGGACTTAACAGTCAACCTCTTCTCCAAACTCCTGAAGGCAGGACAAGAAGCAATGGATGGAAACTAATCAAAGAGAGAAGCAACCTTGAACTAAGGAGAAATTTTCTGACAGTTAGAAAAATTAATCAGTGGAATGACTTCCTTGAGAAGTTGTGGGTGCTCTAACACTGCAGGATTTTAAAGAAGAGACTGGACAGCTATCTGTCTGAAATGGCACAAGGTTTCCTGCTTGAGCCGGGGGCTGGACTAGAAGATCTCCAAGGTCCCTTCCAACTCTGTTATTCTGTTACATCCTGCAATCGTGTTTATTTGTTTTCTAAAAGTAAAACTAGGAAAGAATATTCTCATTCCTTTATAACTTTTTTTTTTTTTTTGCCATGGACATAGAGGTAGGGGTAAGCAGGACTGAATGTTTCCCAGCAGGAGAAGCTGAAAATTCAATTTTTACTTGGAAAATCCCCCCCCCCCACACCCAAGAATAAAACTTTCTTTTTATCTTGATCCAAACAGCAGTTGAAAGAACAAAATGGCACCTCTAACACCTCCATGACTCCTTACGGTAGCATATTCAATGACAATGGTAAGTGTTTATAAAATATAGAAGTATTTATGCTGGACTTCTCTTTGGAAACTTTAGATCACTGTTTCCCAACCTTGGCATCTGGATGTTATTATTTATTATTTTATTTATTATTATTTTATTAAATTTCTATACCGCCCTTCTCCTGAAGGACTCAGGGCGGTGAACAGCCAGAAGATAAAACACAGGAAATGCAAAATTTAAAATAAATTAAAACGAATTAAATAATTTAGGCTGAATTTTAAAATACCCCATAATTAAACCAATTAAAATTCATGTTTAAAATTTAAATTTAAAAGAGGAGATGATTTAGGACTCACATCATTTAGGAGATGATGTGAGGACTTCAACTCCCAGAATTCCACAGCCAGTATTTTTATTTATTTATTTTATTAAAATTTATATGCCGACCTTCTCCCGAAGGACTCGGAGTGGCTCACAACAGTAAAATCACAATAAAACAGCAATAATAAATAAGATTAAAAGATTCAATTAAAATCCCACAATTAATTAAAACTCCCAAAACAGAATCAGACAATTTGCTTAAAAAGCCATGTCTTTAGGTCTTTGTGTAAGAAACGGAGATCAGGGGCCGTCCGGAGCCTGGTGGGTAACTCGTTCCAGAGGGTCGGTGCAGCCACAGAGAATGTCCTCATCCTGGGTGCCCTCAGCCGACATTGTCTGGCCAACGGCATCCGGAGGAGGGCAGTATGATGCTGCCTCGGACATTCTAGGAGTTGAAGTCCACCCATCTCTGAGTGACCAAGGCTGAGAAACGCTGCTGGTTGGGGAATTCTGGGAGTTGAAGTCTACCCATCTGCAAGTTACCATGGTTGAGAAATGCTGCTGATTGAGGAATTCTGGGAGTTGAAGTCCACCCATCTCGCAGTGGCCAAGGCTGAGAAATGTTGCTGGTTGAGGAATTTTGGGAGTTGAAGTCTACCAGTGGTGGCTTGCTACCGGTTCGCCCCGGATCGGGAGAACCGGTAGTGGTGGTGGTGGCGAGAGGCTCCACCCACCCACCCGGATGTCTCTGCGCATGAAACCCACTACTGAAGTCCACCCATCTTCAAGTTGCTAAGGCTAAGAAATACACTAAACTAGAGCCAACAGAATGAGCTAACTGAATATAGGATTCACTTCTATGGGATACAAATAAACCTATGAATTAGACCTCCCCACAGACATCAGTTCTTTCTATTTGTAACATTCAGGTGCTTCAAATCAATAAGGAAAAGGGAGACATATTGGACGTAATTTGTGTGTTGTCAGCCAGTCTGTACTAGGGATTCTACCACTGAGCTCTATAATGAAGAATCTTATTTTTCAGACACTCTATATTTCCATCTCTTTTCCTTGGAGTACTGACTGGTCTGAACAGCTCCACTGCATACTGGAGATGGGTCTCATACTGCTAATTTCTTTTGCTAATGCAAAACACAAAGAAAAAAATGAATTTAAGATGGAACATTTGTGAGAAAATTTAATTTCCAGACTATTTTGTCCTGGATATGAATTATCTTTTGTTGACAAAATATATTGCATTATTTGCTATTAGTCGCTATTTGATTTTCGCTATTAGTCATGTCTCTTTTCTTTTACCCCCCACTCCCCTTTCTCCTTATACCTATCATCTGGGTATCTATTTTTCTAATTGTTTTCTCCCATCTGTTTTCTATCTATTTTATCTCTATACCCTTATTCATATTTCCTTTCTAACCAATCATAAAATTTATCCCATATCTTGAAATACATCGACTCCTCTTTATCTCTTATTCTCAATGTTAATCTATTCATTTCTACACATTCTAAAATTTTCTTTATAATTTCTCCTTCCAACGGGATTTTATCTGCTTTCCAATTTTGTGCAAATACAATTCTAGCCATAGTTATTATATGAATAATCAAATATGTATCTTATTTACTGTAATTCTCTGGTAAAATTCCCAGTAAGAATATCTCTGACTTTAATTCTATATGTTGTTGCAACGTTCCCTCTAACCATGTTTGCATTTTCACCCAATAATGTTTTGCTTCTTTACACAACCACCACATATGATAGTATGATCCCGACAACTGGTGACATTTCCAACACTTAGCTGATTTATCTTTAAACATCTTAGCTAATCTTTCTGGTGGCATATGCCATCTATAAAACATCTTATACAAATTTTCTTTATAAGCTATCAGTCATGTCTTTATTTCTTTCAATCTGGTATTTTTAGGTGGAGAACTATTGAAGCAGCAAAAAGAAATTGGGCAGCTTATTTTGTCAAAGCACGAGAGAGAAAAGAAAGGAGTGGAGAGCCTGGTGGAACAGGAGGCCCCTCGGCTGGTGGAGACTTTCGCGCGTGTAAATGGTAGGCATCAGTAGGAGATTACATTGGCTCTTACATTTGCTCTACTCAAGTGTTCATGGATTCTCTGCATGCTTTGAAATACAATTTGGCACTTTTCAGTTATATTCTAATATCTATCTATCTATACCTCTACCTCTACCTCTACCTCTACCTCTACCTCTACCTCTACCT